GAAACACCCTTCAGAGACCTGCCAGATACAGGCAGGCAACAACTGAGCAGGTGGAAAAAAGATCTAGGCCTAGAAAATGCTCTTATTTCTTGCCTGACTGTTCCAGAAAGGCTAGTCTACTATGCTGTTTAACATGGGCGAAGCTCAGGAGGAATAGGGCTGGAGTTACTGGAGGCATTAAGGTCACCTAGGAAAGAATGCAAACTACGCACCCCAAGTTTAGGTACAAACACAGGAAAACGACTATGCTAAAGAAACCAAGGAGTATAGGTTAAAAGAAAGGTATTTTTAAAAACCCTAAAAAGGTCAAGGGAGATTTTCAAAAAGAAAGGAAAAATTAACTCTTTAGGTATAGTAGTGGTGGATTTAAAATTTTAGTGGATTAAGGGATGCTTGGCACATCAATGGTATAAAACATTTGTACATGTAGTATAAAACATACACATTCTTTCAAAACTTGGCTGTGAAAGGAAAAAAATAGAATGGAGAATAATGGCAGGACACGAGTAGCAGAAAAGAATTTTCGCCTTCAGAGGAATTAAAATACATCTTCATGCTTAAGAGAAGAGCCAACAGAAAGGGAAAGGTCAAAGACTGCAACTAAAAAGAAGACAAAGGTAACCAGAAAAAGATTGCAGAATAGGGCACAAACAGTTTAGGTACAAATATAGGGGGGAAAAAACCCTGCATTAAAGAAACTGAGGAGTACAGGCACAAGGAAAAAAGGCAAGAGCTTTGATAAATTTATGCTTAGGCAAAACAGAGCCCAAAGCAGGAAAGAAAAGCATACAGATAAACTTTCCTGGGGTGAAGGAGTCTTGGGGCAAGGAAGGCAGCACAAAACCTGGTCAGGATCAGGTCCAAAGTGAAGGAAACAGGAGGGAGAGGATCAGAGCGAAGCGCAAGTGGGGTCCACCAAGCTGTAACTGCACCAATTCCAAGGGCACCTGATTTCCCTTTAGCAGTTCATATGCAGAAACATGGACAGGAACCCCATGGATGAAATGAACATTAAGATTTCTTCCAAACCAAGACTGAAAGATAGTCCGGGCTTCTGGACTGTGGAGCCCAGTCTAGCAAGAATGAGAAGGCATCAAAGGAAGACTGATGTGTGTAGACAAACAAGTTAAGAGCAAAAAGCTGAAGGATTTGATGAAATTAAAGAACAGGTACATAGCTCAAAAAAGTGGAAAGACAAGGGACTGATCTATACTCACTGAGAAAGAGTTTAGAAATTGATGAAGTGATTCTTGTTGACAAGTTACAGGATATTCAGGATGTTTGGTGGAACTTGGGGTGGAGAGAAAAAGGTAAATTAGCAATTAAATTCAAAGGTGTTGCTGGACTTTTTGACAATAGTGTTATTTTAAAAGTACCTGAGTAATCATACAATTTTGGGAAAAGTCTCACGAAGAACATTAGCTTATTAAAGATTCTTAGTACCCCCTAGAGTTAATTCATTGACAATGAAACCATTTCTTCACGTTAACTCTTTTCAAGACTCTACATCAGATATGGCATTGTCCTCAGAATTATCGTGATATTTTAAGGTTACTCCAAAATTAAAAGACACACAAAAAGAATAATTTTGGCTCTCTTCCAACGGTAAAGCAGTTATAAAACTTAGCAGTTCAAGTTATTCCTAGCTATAAATACTATAAATTGTATTTTGAGGTGTTTCTAAGCTAATTAGAAAGTAGGCACTAAGCAGATTAAAACTAAAAATTTTCATACCTCTACTTTTTCTTGCTCCTCGAGTGCTAAAAACACAGCTGCCCGGAGTTCAGCCTTTAAAAAAAAAAAAAGGCAAGAACTCAAGACTTCTTCCAAGGTAATCCCAAACCCACAAGTGCCCAGGACCAGCCCCCCGGGCCCTCACAGCCGGTGAGCAGGCCTTGGCCGCGCCGCCTGCCGGTCCCGCCGCCCCAAGCCCCGCCACCCGCCGCACCTTGATGCGGTTCAGGGCGCCACTGTTTTCCAACGTCTGCACCAGCAGGTCCCGGAGCTCTGTGTCCTCCTCGGCCGCCACTGCGGCCGCCGTCGCAGCCATCGTGATTCTCCAAGACAACCACCCAAGCCGCGCCAACAGCCAACGGCCGCGGCCCGGCTCGCGCCGCGTCTCGAGGGACGGGTAAACGTACGTCAGGGGCGGGGCTTCGAGGGCTCGGGCAGGGGCTGGGTCTCGGCGGGAGGGCGGGGCTTCGAGGGCTCGGGCAGGGGCTGGGTCTCGGCGGGAGGGCGGGGCTTCGAGAGCTCGGGCAGGGGCTGGGTCTCGACGGGAGGGCGGGGCTTCGAGGGTTCGGGCAGAGGGCTGGGTCTCGGCGGGAGGGCGGGGCTTCGAGAGCTCGGGCAG